TTTAAAGGATGGGATCCAGATTCCTGTTGAATTTTAGTAAGTTCCTCTGTTGTCGATAGTCATTGTGTAATCATAACATCTCAATTGAATGCTTCCCTTTGCTCAGTGCTGTGAAGTTGTGGATGTACTTGTTTGCCATCCTGAATTGTGCCTAGACTAACCGAGAGTAGTTGTGTTACAATTACCTGCTTGAACAGAAAGGAAAACGGTGTTAAATCCTTCTTTTTTCTTTCTCTTTTTTCCCCCTTCCTCCATCCTGTTCCCCGTCCCTTGTCCTGCTTCTTCCATGCTGCTTCCCCGTTGCCTGTGTAGTTCATACCCGCCGTCCGTAAAGAGAGAGCGGTCAATGGTAGAGAAGCCAGTCGTCCGGCTGCACCCATCTCTAGTAACAATCCCGTCCAAAACTCCTGAACAGTTTTAACTTGGCCCGATCAATTGCCTTTCTGAGCTCCAGCGATGCATGTGCAGCATTTTGAAATGACAGAGCGGGATAGATAACTACATGTGCATCACAATCACCAAATGATGATGCATTGGTTTTTCGAGAACTTTGACTAAAATGTACCAGCCCTGATGTGGTGGCTCCACTAAACCACACCCACCCGGATGAGTTCTGGACTTCAAATTTGGATCGCCAAATCCATTGAGATGTTGACTGCAATGTGCTTGCATAATTAATAGGCCTACTCCTTTGTTTCCCCCCAAACTGACCAAAAACTCAACATTGTTTTTCTGTGTGGAATGCTTGTAAAATTAGTCCATTTTCCATGCATGGTATAGACGTTGCAACTTATTACTTTGCACATTTAGATTGCAGTATGCACATGAACTTTGTACTGTTCGTTAGTAAACGCCTTCACATTCTGTCTTTCAGAATTTTGTTACATAGACTGCATTTTATACAGCTGTCTTGAATCTATAGTTAAGAAGAAAATATAAAGAGTTTATCTTGGCCAATGTTGTCACTATTTTAATAGTTCCTTATACATTTACAGAGACAATTAGATGTGAATTATTTGCACAAGTTTCTTCCTCAAAAAGGTAAAAAGCTGGTTCATTTATCCAAATGTTTTATAACAAATCTTCATTCAGAACAACAATTTGGATTAGTTCCTTATACATTTATTACAGAGACAATTAGATGTGAATTATTTGCACAAGTTTCTTCCGCAAAAGGTAAAAAGCTGGTTTATTTATCCAAATGTTTTATAACAACAATTTGGGTTAGTTGACATTCATATACCAACAAATTTGTCGTTTAGGGACCAACAATGCATGGTCATTTTTGTATTTAACCCAAATATCGCTCGATTTCTTCGAAACAATTGCATTCTTTTGGTCCAAACACACCATACTACCTCAGATGGTCGTTGTCATAAACGTCAGATCTTTTTAGTTATCTTATCCTCTGTCAAGCCGACGAAGAGGATCCTCCTTTTTAAAGTGAACTCTTTCAATTCTAAAATGTAAAATTTCGGTTGAATTCCTACACCCTATCATAGTGCCCAAAATAACTCCCGAATATCTGAAACAATGTTGACAAAAATAAAGATAAGACCATTAGCTCAGCAACATTGGTGGTGAAAGAAACCCATCATTTGTGCAAAGTAGTTCTCAAATTGTGTTTTAAATTTGGGATCTTGCATAAGCAAAAACTTCCATGATTGGTTTATGAAATTGGATTTTTTTTTTTATTCTCCAGACTAAAATCTGAGACATGAGTCATTGCTGCATGGCTTTTTTTAATTTCTAGACTGACAACTTATAATTCATTTGTGAAAGTTTTAATAGTTTTAATAGTTTTTTTGTTTTCAGTGTTTTATTTCTGAGAAAGCTTTGTTGTGTGGAACATACCAAAGTTTAAGAGATTTGAAGCTGGGAGATTTGCATACTTTAATTTTGTTTTAGATCCTACTAATATATTTCACATAATCACATATTTCTAAGTGCAGTTTTATATTTATTTAAGAGCTATAGTTTATTGTCACTGATATTGCATAGCATGGTGTTTGTATCAAGCATACATGTGTAGACAAAAATGTTTTGTTATTGAACATTTATTTATTTTCTTTGTAGACGGTACAAGAATGTAATGACCAAGACATACATATCGTCACCGACATCACAACATAACACCCAAGTCCACTCCAGTGTTACTTCGTGAAAACCGCTTAATGACAAATTTTTGTTTCACGAAGTAATGCTCAAGTGTGTGCGCACATCGGACACTGGCACGAACGATTTTCGTTTTCACAATATTACAACACTGTTACGAAAAAAACAATTTGTATAAAAATGTTTTAAAACGTTTGACAGGAATGTTATTAATCTGTTTTCTTGTGGGATTACAGAAAAATTTAATAAAAGCCTTTAAACTGGTGAAATAAAGATGGGTGATACTTTGTGAAAACGAAAATGTACCGAGTGAGCACACAGTGTACTTTGGTGTTACTTAGTGAAAACAAAAATCACTCGGTTTTGTAAAATACGCGTGCGTAGCCTGCACTCAATTCCACTCGGGTGTTACTTCATGGTGTCGTTGACGATGTGTTAATAATGCTGTTTATCAAGTTCCTAGACATTCCTAACAGTGTTGGATAAATTAGAAATTGTGGTTCTCGAGCGGGATCAACTTTCCATGTTCAAATTATTTTAGGCTAAAGTTGAACTTGAACTGCTGATTGTTATGGTTTACACTGCCAGAGTGTTCCAGCGATTCTTGAAATTATAGACATTATTATTTTAAATACAGGAACAACTCTGTATGCCTGTATTTTATTATTGTATCCACTATCCAATTTTTTGTTTATAAGTACCATGTGCGAATGTATTAATGCATAAACCAGGTTTGATTTTGAGGGAAAAAAGAGAAAATTTATTTCATTGTGTTGACAAGGAATTATTTGTCTGTGTAAATTATGATGTAATTTTAATTTATTTGTGTTTCTTTTTATGCTGAGAATGCAAATTGCAGCTGGGTTAAGAGTGTAGTAATTTAGTAAAGAGTCTTTATAAGATTTCTCTGGTGTTGACCGCATTCAAAATCAATTAGTGAGGTGGCACCACACTCACATGCACCCTCGGGTCACAGCCGTTCTTAACCCTAACTCCCTAGCGTCTTTTACTAGCAACTGGACCAAGTCCATCAAAATCCATCAATCACTGTGCGTCCAATACAAAACTGTACATGACATAATGGAATCCACCACTGACGCACTGGTTGACATCCATGGACTTGCTACACATGGCTTTTATCACAATAGCAGTACAGGAAGCTAGGCAAAATCAATCGGATACCCCTAGCACTGCTTCAGGCCATAAGGCCCAAGTCCATCATACTCCATCAATATTTAGTCACGCCAGGCCTTCTGGACCAAGTCCCCCCAAATCCACCAAAATGGGGGGATGGATTTTGATGGAGTTGGGGTGGTTAGGGTTAAAGTTGTTGAAGAATGCTATTGAACTGTGCATCAGTCTGATGTCGCCTTATATTGGTTGGTTGGTTATATCGGTAAAGCTGTGTCAGAATCACATGGCTATGTCTTGGAATAACAAGCACGCCTATGCAAGCCACTGGCTAGCGGCTGCAGCAACCTGCAGCCATTTCCCATAGACTCATGTGTTATTTCTAGCCACAGCCAAGTGATTCGGACATAACTTAATTTTTAAGTTTTACTGCTGAATGTACAGGGCAAGCAGGTCATCATAAATTTTCAAGATTTTCCCAGCTGTATAAATCCTTCCTCCATGATAAACCAAAGTAAAGTTGATATTGAGCTGAAATTTCTTCTTGGGCACATTGTGTTATCAGATTTGTGACGAGAATTGATATTAAATGTATTCTATGCTAAACAAAACGTTTAATGGTACGGACATGCTGTTTTATTTTTCTGTCAGAAGTGTCAAAAGTTTGGACTCCATGTGTGAAAGGACATCCTAGGCTGAGCCGTAAAAGTGCAGAACATTTCTCTTATTGACAAGGGACACTCAAGTGTTGTTATGCTGTGCGCCAACACTCTGGTGTATTTGTGTCTAATTTACTGAATATTTGAGCATATTCATTGGAGAATATGATTTTGTATACATTGTGGATTGTGTGGCATTAGAGATGTGCACGTGTTGGTTACCCACAGGCGTAGTAGTGGGGGGGGGGGTGCATAATGGATTGAGCCATTGCCCAAGAAGTGAGACGTGACAAAGACCAGCTACAGAAATTAAGATAAACTGGAAGTTTTCCATGTTATTGGTTGACTAAAGACATTAGCACACAGACTTCTTCTTCAGCAGAGGATATTTGTTTCAACAACAAAAAATGAAGCCGTAGCTGTAAAACATCTGACTCCAACACAACCTTACGTAAAACTTAGAATGGCGGAGCGTAACAGACATGAGTTGGCTAAAAAACAAATTGGACACTGGACAACAATTTGAAATATCACTTTATTTTATACAACAGAAAACAGTGTCTAGCTTTAGTTGTAAACAGAATGTGAACTCCAGGTTTAACCGGTAAGCTTCGTGACTCCCATGAAAAAAATTTAATTGAAAAGATGTTTCCAAGTTTTAAGAGTTGTCATCCAGGCAATCACAATTCGCAAGTCATGTCATGAGTCCGGTCACAAGTCACGAGGAATAAACAGTGACGGTTTGCTTTTCATTTAACCTGTTCATGTCGGATGACGTGTATACATGCAAAGGTTTTGCGGTATTCGGAACAGATGACAGATAAACACGCAATAAGCGAGGCCAGAAATATCAGGGTGTGCTACCCGCAGAGGACGGCCTGAACCCGTCTGGCATCGAGGTTCGTGAAAAACAATCCCCGCGTCTGGGTCCGGTCAATGTCAAAATAATCCCGGCGCGAACTGGTTAAACAGCACTCGTGACTCGATTTTAAAACTGGATGACATTTCATTAAGTAGTGATTGACTTATGATGGAACTCAGTATAATAACAAATCACATAATTCAGTTTTCTTGCAAAAATCCTCGTTTCTACAGAACTGTGACCCGGAGCGATCAGACGACGATGCCTTGTCAACAGCCCCTCCCTATCCCATCAAGGAGAAGCTAACGGAGAGCATCGACGAAAATGATGATGTCTTCCAAGATGCCAGGTCGTCCTTGGATAGTGACGTCAAAGAGTACAACACCATCGCTGGAGGCGTCAGTTAAATTGCCCGACCTTTGACCCGTAACGAGCCAGTACTCACTGCCGTACAGAGTTTCACAAACTATATAGAGTTTTAAACGCAGAGTGACTTAAAATATGAGATATTTCATTGGCTGCACTTGGGACAAAAATTGTTTAGTCATGTTAACATCCCTGAGATAATGCAGATTATTGCAAAGTTCCTGAAACTGACATGGAAACTTTGCAGATGTACTGAGCCTAAAAGTCTTAACATGGTTGTCTTTAGTTCAGTAGGACGGAGACCAAAAACTCACAACAAAATCTTGGCTCTTTTTAAGTTTATTATTAATTATGACATAATTAGGGGAACGGGTCTACTTTTTGCGTGCATGCTCAAAACTCACTATTGTCTCATTTTTTCCCCTGATTACTCACTACTGAGTGTAGTGTTGAAGTAGACCTTTCTGGTTTGAGTGAACTCTTAGATTTTAAACAGGCAGAAAGGCAGGATGCGTGGCGGACTGAAAATGTGGCTTTTTGCGGAGGGAGGATAACCGGAGAACCTGGAGAAAAAACAACTAGAGGGGCCCACTACCATAAAAATACACATGTATGGCTTTGGCCGTGGGGGGGGGGGGGGGGGGGCAATTGCTCGCCAAGAGGGGCCTGGCCCCACCAGCCCCCCCCCCCCCCTTGGCGACAGGCCTGGCGTGCTTAGTCTTGCTTCAAGACTGGATTTGTATTTTAGTCCCCGAATACAGAAGGTCCTTGATGAGCATGTTAAAGCTACGATAGAGGTCACTATTGACAAGATGAATCGAGTCCAGTCTGGACATGCTAGTCATGCGCGTGAGGTATACTCTGTAGTTTCTGGGTAGCGCTGTTTGAGTTCCCAAGACTTGATTTTATTCATCTTGTTGAAAGCGACTTTTACCGCCACGGTGGCTTTACCGCGTCAGGAGCCAGCTGTATAAGGGGAATACAAAACCTAATCCAGTCTTTGACCAAAGACTAGCGTATGTTATTCCATGTCATGTCATGGTCACGGAGAAGAGGGGAAAGGAAGAAAGAAAATAAAATCTGGAAACTAACTATTTGGCAGTTTTCATCAATGCACTGTGTATAAAATGTAAAGAAAAATATGAAATTTTGTATATTTTAGAATCGGTTTGAGTGATGTAGATATCTTTCATTTTCCCTAGCAATCCACCGGTTCACTGAAATACGTGTTTAAGCACAACACTAATCCTTATATTTTTTAATTAGAATTAATTTATTAATTTTTGATACCTAAATATAGCGGCAGTGGTTGGTTTCAATAAAATACACGTAGTACTTTGTACAAAATTATCTGAAGTTGCAAGTAGCAGTTCTCACTGAAAGAGAACAAATTGCATAGGTTGGTTTGCGTAAATAAACCTATTTGAGATTTGAATTTTAGAAGCCTAATCAGTAATTTCCATACCAAATTCAGTTGACTGTTTTTTTTGTGGGGGGGGGGAGGGAAAAGTTTTTGGCTTGGGCTGTACAATTGTTTTGGTTCCAAGTGTATTTTGAGTTTTTAAGTTTGAAATAGCTATGCTCTTGGAACTGAATACTGCAATTATGTGTTACAAAATAGTACTTTCTTTTAAAAATCGCTTGCTCCAATTTGAAATGTCTGTGTGTGTGATAAAAGAAAACCAAAAACAAAATGGTAGAAGAAACTCAAGATATTTTAGAGTCGGAAAAATGTTGGTTTGTTTTCAACTTGTTAGGAATGTTGTGGGTCATTCGATAAAATGTGACATTTTTTCCTGTCCCTGTTACCGTTGTACTTTGTAATTTGCCATTCAAGTATCATTTAGAATGACTTCAAACTATTTTTTTTTAAAATTGGGTGGGTAGTTTGCTATTCATAATCACTGTTGGAGGACGACTGCATTAAGCAGTCCATCAGAATTATAAAACCATAGATGTCGGACTTAACAGGGACAGGACAAAAGTGGACCCCAAATTTATAGAACGACCCATGTGGAGATGAAGAGTAGTTTCCAAAACGGAAATATAATGATTTTACAGGCTTGCCCCACTTGCTAAATATCTCTTGAAAGTTTGCTGGAAAGTTTCATCTCATATCTTTGTATACATATTATTAGCCAGTAATACAAGGCTTAATTTGTAGGTTTTTTTAATGAAATGAATGTGAAGTTTCAGAACACTTTTAGTCTCCAAACAAATAAGAGATTTTCCAATTTGTAAGTCCATGAGGCATTGCGTCCAGTGCCTAAAACTGTCAAAGGCTTGAAGCAACAAATCCAGATTTGCAATATTGAGTGTTGTTGCTGCTCAGGGAACTTAAGGAAATGTTGGATTTTTTCCCTCCTTGTCGTGAAAATTCAACTTCTGTTTTTAGCCACCCCTACCAACCTCTTGGGTCAGCCGTAAGAACTACATGGAACTTCAACTGCAACTATCACCTGATGCTTTTGAAATAATTAATTCCTGGAATGTCTGTAGTTCGGTGTACCACAGAATCTTATCAAGGATGTATAGACTGACCAGGTGACAGCTATTTACCGAGGTGGCACCAGGTTCACACAAGTCGCGCTCAGATTGTACGCACATACTACAGGCTCCTTAGACCAGTGAGTTACCAAAATGTGCACACGCCTCGTCTTTAAGAGCGCGTGCAGCATGCGTGTGAGCGTGGTACCACCGCAATAACAGCTTCTAATTCTGGTCACCAGATTCCGCTGACCCGGGCAAAGAAATTTTGGGGGGGAAAAAAATACAAGGATCGAGTCATTGATTTTCAATAGAAATGCTTTTATTTGCATAGTCAACTCTGAAATATTGGCTCTCGTCACTGTGATACACGTTTATTATTGGCAATATCACTAATCTGGCTGTATATTATATATTTTATACATTGCAACACAGAAAGATTAAATAAATGGAGTGTTTAAAAAAACAAAAATTATTGGATCGTGTGAATTTTTTTCCCCGCTAACCAGTCCAAGTCCAAAAATTCAAACCAGGCAAAATGCCATCATTTTTTGCATCTTAACTTATTTCAGCACTTGCCTTTTGTAATGTTTTAAAGCATGAGTTGCAGCTATCAATCTAAACTTTTACATTTTTAAATTCTTTTCTTTTTTGATGTTTTACAAATAATTTCTCTCCATAATTCATGCCTTTGCATATTAACGCCTTACATTTGAAAAAGATCACCAAGCAAAATCGGGAAAAAGACAAGATAATCAAAATGTTTCAATTCTCTGACTACTTGTATGTACATATTTACAGTCATACAAAGTAAAGACATAATCAAATTATGACTCAATCCAACAATTGTTTTTTAATTGGTGGGGGGGGGGGCTGGTCCAAATTCTATTATTCACTAGTTCAGGGTTGAGATTTGGTCGGATTTTTCCGGACCAGGATTTAAAAAATGATATTTTTTTAAAGCTATAGTCCATCATTTGTAATTAGTGCATTTTGTTCGTTTGAAGCAACTAAAGTGTTCAAAATCTAATGAAGGATACTGAACAACTTACTTGATGAAGTTTCAGCTCAGCTTCAGCTTCATATTCCGAGAAAAACAGGTTTCTAGGATCTCAATTTAAAATCAAAAGTTGCTAAATCATGTTTCGAATTGTTTTGAATTGCAGCTTTACGCGAGGTTGCGCACTGATCCAACGAATTATAGCAACCGCGCGCGCCTGTGCGTCGTTCCAATGCTTGTGCGCGCTGCGCCGAATAACAAAACGAACAACTAATTTAAATTTTCCTACGGTGCTTCTTAAGAAGCACCGTTGGAAATGCCTTCTTTCGTTGATTTCTTCAAAATGAGAGCTTGCCAGAAAGGATAATTTCACAGGGAGTTTAGTTCCCTTACTATCTTTCAACCAAGTATGTTTTTCAACAATAATTACGCCGGTTACTTTTTTGGATAGCTGCAAATGATGGACTTGGGCTTTAAATCTGGAATTTGTGATCTCTTACAATAATGGTCTCATTTTATAAAGGTCTACACAGAAGAAAAGAAATGGATTTTGTATGGGATGCCTTTAGGTAAATACAAACACATAACTATGGGCTCCGTGCGCCAACAGAAGAGGGCCCTTTTTTTTACCACTTTTGACAGCTGCGTCGACAGGACATGCTGCATACATGCATATAGCTGAAATGCGCACGACAAATTTTATTCTAAATGTGGCACAAAGCCACAGCGTCTTAGCGTGGACTTCACTGTGTGGTCCTGCGTAAGTCCACAGTGTCTCAAGACCCTACACAACCTCTTTTGTTCACAAGTCCACACAGTGAATGCAATGCTAGCTCACCCATTTGCACTTCACAGTACAGCAGTGTTCACAGCAAGAAAAATCAACATTACATTTGGCATGTCTAAATAGAGATTCAGGAAAAAATGTTGCAACCTGACGCCATTTCCACGATTGTGTACAAAGTCTATGGAGAGTCAAGAAAATTTTCCTTACAAAAAGTAAGAAAAGTATTTCCTTACAAAATTGGAAATGTTTCTCAGTCCCAGATTCGTGTCTTATCATCATTTTTGCAATGAATGACCTTCATTGAGATGATATATGAAGAAAAAAGTGGCGTCAGGTTGCAACATTTTTTCCGAGATTCATTCTCTGCTTTGGTTAAGCAATGTATTTGTGAACCCTGCAATTTGTTTTTCCTTTAGCTACATCCTGGCATTAAGAATAAGTTCTAAGTAAGCAAGCAAAGCTTCAAATAAAACAACGTCAAAAAAATATCACATATAACATTAACGGTAATAAAGGATAGAGTTTTCTCGTATTTACAAATATATCTTGATAAGTCACATCTTCACAAGCTTGGTTGTATCTCCAACAGTTAGTTGTGTTTTTTAAATCCAGAATCAGTCGTCAGTGCATGCATCTCAAAGTTCCATCAATCTTGGTAAAACCTGTAGAACAAAAAAAGGTTCCAAGCTTTAAATTATGAAATTATGGTCGATCCATGGCAACAACCTGTAATACATTATCCCATGCACCACGGTCCACACTGCACTCTGCGTATCGCGCTATTCCAAGATGCATGCGCCATTCCCACTTCAGCACGTGTAATAGTGTAACAAAATTTGATTTTATTATGGTCCCAATTGCACCTTTAAACTAAATAGAGAGCGCTTTGGCCACAGTAATCCATAGCAGTCATGTATTACATCTGTTCTCAAGTCAGATTAATGCCACAAAACTATTTCAGAGCTTACTTTGTTCAACTTAAGTCTTTACCTACTTTACACCACAATAGAATAGTATTTGGGTTGCAGTCAAACCACAGATGGAGCTCTCATGGCAGTCTTTATTGTTTACCCTCACAATACTGGGATATAAGTTCCTTGCCCCCATACCTCTGTACTTAGTGTTTATGCAAATATCTCCCAGTACGAAAGACACACTGCATTAGTATGCCTAATCTTGAAATTCTTATGCATATTTTTACCCAGCACTATAAAACCCCTTTGAAAGCTCAATAGGGCGTGGACTTGCGACTGGGGCATGGTGGTGGATGGTGGTGTGCATTTTAGTTCCATATTTTCTGAGTTCCTGTACATGTATGGCTGAAGGTGGAAGCCTAGTTTAGTTTGGCCTTCGTTTTTGTGCAAGACGCTGTGTTCTTTAATTTGCATCACCACCACCACCATTACACCAAAGGGTTCAGTGGTCTGCATAGTCTTGTGAGTATGTTCCAATATTACCCCCCTTGCCCCCAGTAGTTTTACATGGCCTGGTTGTAGACTACGGTGTTGTATCGTAGTGGTGCCAATCTGAACTCTGCTCTGTCAGTAACTATTTAAATTCTATCATTCATATTTACATGCTCTCCCCTGGTTAATTATTTTGTAAGCGAAGAAGCGCTAATTAAATTCTCATTATATCTATTTTCTGATATTGCATATACTTGTCCCTTTGTCGGTTATTTTGTGATCAGCATCCATGTATATTTGATTAATTAGTTAATCCCCCCAACTGACGGTTGGCCGCTTTAGGTCGCCGTTACAATAGCACTAGCATAAATGCTGAAAAGTTCGCGTAAAATGTTCACATTCCAACTTCAATACTGTGTATCATGTTTGCTGGAAGAGTAATTTGTTATCCCACTCTAGCTCGTAGAACATGAAAAAGGTAGTGGGGCTTTATTACCCCACATACCACTTGGCCTTTGGCCTTGTGGGACACTGATGGGGCACTTCTTTATTCCATGTTCCACTTGTGCTCATGGGATAACCAATATAGTATTAGAAGGGGCCCGCGTTGACCAGGAAGATTTCGGTTTCAGACCGGCAAAGTTTGTATGATAGACTTCCATTGAGTACACTTTGGAGTTGCTCCAAATGACCGCAATAGTCAATCTTTAAAAAACGTCAGATTGTTCATGTATTTAAGTCGCACCTTTGGAACTTTGGAACTAAATCTGATAGTATGATAAGGTCATTTTATATATAGACCTTTGGGGAATGTTGTTAGCTACATTTTGATTTTGATTTTGTAAATTATTCAACACTGACCACGGTTTATGACATATGATGCAGTTTGAAAAGTTGCAAATTTAAAGAGTACGCGAGTAGAAATTGCTGAGTGACAATGTCACACTGCCCGAGACAAATGGCAGGGAATATCTATCGCACAGTGCTTGCATGCATGGGAGCACACAAAATTGAATTACCCGCGCTTTGTTCAGGCACTGTGCAGTCGATAGGGGCCAATTACAGGCATGTGTGTTTGCGCTTAGCAATTTCTCCTCGTGTAATCTTTAAATTTGCAACTTCTTAAACTGCTTCATTTTTCATAAACTGTTGTCAATCTTGGACACTCTTTGGTAGCAAACGGGCTATCAAAATGTAGCTAACAAAATTCCCCAAAGGTCTATATAAATGACGTCATCATAAGATGATCAGATTCAAAATAATGACCCCTCCATTGAAAGTGGACTTTCATTTTTTGCTGTGTGTAGTTTGGTTGTGTACAACACTGGAACCCAAGTCTAAAAACAGCTGCGTCTCAAGTAGACCTTGAGTTCTGAGTGTGAGTCTTGAGTCACGTGACTCTTTCGTCATACTCACATCGACCAGGAGCGGTCGCTTCAGTTTCTTCAGCAAACAGTCAGTTGCGATGTCATACATCTTGTTGGCCGACATTTCGCTGTACGCGTTTGTCAACCTTGGGTCCACAATGCTCAAGATGTCCCCACACTTATCGATGATGACCTCCACGTAGGAGATGATGTCGGTGCCTTCCCGGCTCTGGTCAAGAGGTTCCAGTCCTGTAATCAGCTCCAGCAGGACCTAAGGAATAAGAAGAAATGTCAAGGACAAATGTTAAGTTGTTTACTCATCAGAGCCTTAAAAGCTAGAGCACATCATTTGTCATTTGTACATTTTTTTGTTTGAAGCAACAAAAGTGCCCAAAATCTAAAGAAGGGTGCTTTACAACTAACCTGATGAAGTTTTAGCTTAGTGAATGCTGTACATTTACAGAAGACAATATTCTAGGATCTCGACTGCAATTCAAAAGCTGCAGAGTCATGTTTTGCATTGCACCCGAAATCAGCGACCTGGACACGTTCTCATTCAGTTGATTGCAGCTGCGCGATGTCAAGCACTGAACTGACGAATAATAGCAACCGCGCGCATCGTGTCAACGCTTGCGCGTACTCATTCATGGCTTCCCTGAATTATAAACGAATTACTAACAGAAATTTCAAAAAATGCGTCTTTAGACAGAGCCAGCCATAAAACAGGGCCCTGGTCAAGGTCTCTGAAGAAATGACTTAAACAAAAACAAAAACACTGTAGATTCTTTGACTGGCAAGAACTTTCAGAAGGCTTCATTTTGCAGGATTAACACCGCTAGAGCTTACCACGCCAAAGCTGAAGCTGTCGCCTTTGGGAGAGACTTCCCCGATCCGCGCCTCTGGAGGCATGTAGATGCTGGTGCCAATGATCATGCTGGTTATGTGGGTCTTACTGCTGCCCTCCGGTATGGCCCGCACCAGGCCAAAGTCAGCCACCTTCGCTGTCAAGTCTGCGTCAAGGAGCACGTTGGCACTGAGGAACAAAAGGAGGGTGGGTTAAATATATGAATGTAAAGTGCAGCAGAGATAATGAGTGTGCGCGTATAGGTACATAGCAATATGGTACAAGCTGCACAATACTTTCTAATTGTGCTCACCTGATGTGCCTTAACACGATGAACTGGAGTCACTTAAAGGTAGAGTACATCATTTGTCATTTGTGCATTTTTTAAGCAACAAAAGTGCTCAAAATCTAAAGAAGGATGTTTAACAACTAACCTGATGAAGTTTTAGCTCAGTGAATGCTGTATACTCCGACAAAACAATATTCTAGGATCTCCATTTCAATTCAAAAGTTGCCAGGCCATGCTTTGAATTGCGCCCCGAATCAGCGTCCGGAACACGTTCTCATTCAGCCGATTGCAGCTATACGATGTCACGCACTGAACCGACGAATAACAGCAACCATGCACGCATGTACGTTGTGTCAACGCTTACGCGCCCATTCATGGCTTTGCCGAATTAAAAACGAACTACCGGTACTAACTGAAATTTCCAAAGATGCGTCTAAATGACAGCATACCAGAAAGAATAATTTCACCAGGGATTTCAGTGCCATCACCATCTTTAAATCAAGTATGCTTTTCAACACTAATTTCTTTTTGGATAGCTGCACATGATATACTCTACCTTTAACCACATGTTTCTCGACGTCAAGTTTTGAAGTTTTTGAGAAAAACAGTTCAAGTTCAAACATATTCTAAGTGAATTTAGAGAACCTAACCCATAGGCCAAGAACCTAAGAAGTTAACCGTTTTATGCCATGTTCTTAAGCAATATGGAAGATATACGTCAGATGCAGATTGTCAGTAAGGACTGGAATATTATATTATGTTATCAGTGTACCTTTTGACATCTCTGTGCACGACATCTTTACTGTGCAGGTAGGACAGACCTTGGGCCGTCCCCTGGGCTATGAGGACCCTGGATTCCCAGGGTAGGTGCAGGGAGCTGTCTTTGTCCAGGGCAGCCAGGAGGGAACCGTTGTGGAGATAATTGAAGATGAGGCACGGGGTGGGACCGTCAAAGCTGAAGCCGTACAGCTCCACAAGGTTGGGATGCTTCAATCTGCGGGGTCGGAAACAAATTGCCGAAAAATTGTGGAATTAGAAAATTATAGATGAAGCTATCATGATTGTGGTCTATAGGGTTCATGTCTCATCATGATCAGAGGGTCGAGGGGTTCGAATCCATTTGCTGGCCATATTGTGTCCTTGGGCAAGCTACTTTATCCCCACTTGCCTCTCTCCACCCAGGAGTATAAATGTGTACCGGCAATAGCTGGGGAGTAACCTGCGATGGACTGGCATCCCTTCCAGGGGGAACAGAAATATTCTCAGTTATATCATGCCGGGGAAACCGGAGATAAATGCTGGCCTGATCAGCCACTTTCATGGGTGCAGCCATGCATCAATTTGGATATTTTGAAAGCAACTTGAGAACAATTATTAAAAATCAGGAAATGGTATCACAGTAACTTTCCGAATAGTTCATACTTAAAGAGGCAATATTTTCACCAACCTCTCGACAAACCTCTATCAATTTCAGTATTCAGATTGTGACTTGAGAACAATGAAAACAAAAGAGATCAGGTAAGATCTTTGATCTGAACTCACACATGGTTTCTTGTGGGGTAGCAAGCAGGTAGAGTTAGTAACAATAGGCACAACAGACCCCACCAATCAGTCTTCAGAAGTCTGTCTGCTCCATAAGGAAAATTCTATGACGTTTGCGACAGTATAGATCTCTCTCATAGGACGCCATCTTCGTAGGAAAATTACAACTGCGTGTTCAACACCATCAGGTGAATGTGCGTGCAGTGTGCAAAATGTTCTAAACACGCGTGCGTGTTGCTAAATATTTCATCGAAATACGGCGCAGCCGATGCGCGTCACAAAAATTTGACGCCCAAAATGCCGATGCACGAGGCAATTTGTAGAAAGTGACGTCATTTGAGAAAGATCTATATCTATGTGAGGTTGTATACCCTTGTGAATGCTTAAATACATGAACAAACTTTCACCAACCTCTTCAGCATCTGCAGCTCATTCTGGTACTGCTTGAGCACATCAATATCAGAACACTGGAAAACACTCTGTCAAAATGGAAGGAAAAAGACACTGGACTATAAGGAACAGCGATCAAATGGCACACACTATAGGTAAGGGATTGCGCTCCTATGCGAAAAAGTCAAGTCAATCAAGAGAATTTGTTTACAGTCTCATTAAACCTGATTGACTTCTTCAAAGCATGTTTTTATGGCCAACAACATCAATGAGAGAATTGTTATAATACCTCAGTTGCCATGAGTACATTTTTATTATTATAAGATGGAATTTTGCGTCGGGGTGATATAAATCAAATTAGGTTTTTGCCCTTCACCGATGTTTAAACACTGTATACTCAGTGTGTTACCTCCCGAGTGAAAGATGGAAAAAATCACTGGGGTGGGACTCGAACCCACGACCTCTTGCTTTCTAGTGCAGACGTCTAACCACTCGACCGAGCTAACGGGATTGGTTGGCTGGTTCGAATCTGATGTACATAGCAGCGGGTACCGCATGAACTATTATGTACGATGAGTACATTTTTTCTCAGAAAATAAGGCTATAATATTGTTATATGGATTTTTAAGCTCTGGCAGGAGCGTCTACATGTCAGTTGGTGGTTGGTCTGTCTTTCCTGTCTGTCTGTCTGTCTGTATATCCTGAATATTGACAAAGTATGGTGTTCCATATGTGCCATCGGCGTTTCGGGAGATAATATCAGCCAATATTAAATCAGCCGAAAAAGCAGTGGCTGCTTTGAAAAATACCCTCCGTCATCTTGGATCTGTCATTGGTAGAAAAAAAATTGCCTGCATCCTCCTACTTACAAAAAATGCAGACGAGAAACTAGTTTATATTTTTTAGTTGGCCTTTAATACCTGTTTGAGCTTTTTCACAGCGCACTCATGGCCGTCACTGAATCGACCGAGGTAGACGGTTCCGAATCCACCTTCACCCACCATGTTACCGCCCTGCCTCAACGGTACATCGTTGAATGAGTCAGTCATGAAACTCAGGCGGTTGTAATAGAACTCTTTTACTGTTGATCAAGAAAATGGGGATCGAGATTTGACATTTTATAAAACCAAAGCTGTAGTCATATCTTCCCAGTCTTTCGCGAATCAATGTATAGGCCTAAGTCATCCAGTTTAAGTCAGTTTAAGGTAATATACAACATTTGCAAACATCCAAAAACAAAGCTTCCAAATTATCACGAAATACCTTACTGGACCGTTAAATGAATGACAGACTATTAAAAACATCTGTGAAATCATGGCATCTGGTGTGCTGTCATTTTCAAGAAAAAGTGGTATTTGTGTATCAATTTCCAATGATGCTTGGCCAAGAAACTGACTTTTTTCAAATACTGCCCCCAATTTACCAAATTTAGTTCGTCCAGATTCTGTTTGAAATCAGTTACACATCCGTGAACGGCTGCAAGCCAGCTAGTCTGGTTCCCTGATAATTCCCTTAAGTCTATAAATTGCTCTGTTTCGTCTGAAGTAGGGTCAAGGAACCAGACTACAAGAACAGCATTTTTGTTTTCTTGGTTTTTCCTAGCATCTATGAACTCAAAACTTTAAACACGTGTGACAATTTTTGCTATAAAAAAATGACCCCCAAATCCATCCATTTCTGAAAATTACAGCAAAAGCAAATGTTGCATATTCCCTTTATTATGACAAAGTGATTAAAATTAACTACAACAAAAGTCTTCCTTTTTCCTATTACTTATCTACTGTTACTTGTAATCTGTACTGGCTCCGTGCACCAACAAGAGAGGGCGCTAATTTTGACCACTTTGAGAGCCCAAGGATGGGACACACCGCGTGTGCTTACTGGTTCGGGCGCGTATAGCACAAAGTATGCAACAACTTATTTTATTCTGAATGTGCACAAAGCCATAGCGTCTTCGCGTGAGCGTCAGGCGGAATTGTCAGCAATGCGTTTGAATGTCACTCCAAACGGTCTTCCCCAACACTCCCTTCCTTACCATTGTGAGGGTACTTGTGCATGGAGCCCATAGTTATCCCACCTGTGACTGACTTGTCTTGTCTTAGCTTGACAACAACTTATCTTCCAAAGTCTGTGATTTTCATTTGAAACATTACTGGCTAAAGAAGTTGAACGAACTCTTTTGGTTTGTTTGCTTGTTTTTAAACCAAACCAAATGTTTCCTCCAGTCATTAGTAGCTTGAAAGGGAATATAGGACTCTGCGTGCTATATGTTTTATTTGAAATACATCTTTACATCCAAACACATCCTTTTTAACTAGCACTGTAAAAAGTGTAAAAAGAAACATCTCTGTTTCTTGGTGAAGATATCTGTATGGTCCATCTTTTAAAAAACAGTGGAAATCCATTGGCTTCAAACTGGATTCAATTTTTTCTAAAATGCTATTTTAGAAACTGAGTTGCGTCTGTCTCATAACCTACCTTTATCTGGCTCAAAATCTGGCAAGTCGCTGGACTCTACGGGAGCAGATGTCGACACGGCGGAATCACTGCTTTCTTGACCGGCTTTGCTCCCACAATGCACTTCTCCCTGGTCCCCTGCATGTGGGCTAGGTTAGCAACCAAACAGATTTAACATTCTGTTCATATTTGCTGGTAGCTTGTATAAATGTCACAGAGGATGAGCATTTCGAAACTGCACACAAACATTTTTACAGATGGACAATTATTCTAAATCACAAAAAGTTACAGTTAAAATCATTACAAGTCTTCACAAATAATCCAGTCCTAAATCAATCTATTTATGTAGCTACTTCGTAGATATGTAAGTCTTACAGCTGTTTTATTTAAGTTTGAATATTCTTTTCTCGTTAAATTCCAACTTAAAACTGTTCACTCACGGGGGATTGGCCAAGTTCAAGCTTCGGCTTTCTACCAGCTTCCGCCTTTCATCACGTTTATTTTTCCGTTAATTTGAAATATTATTATCATAATTATGATGAATGGTACTAAATCAAATCAAATCGATATGAAAAGTGTCAAATTAAAATCAGTCCTTTGTTTTTGTTCACCCCACTTTTTCTTATGACCATGCAGGCCAAACTTTATGGCGTTGCTAACTATAGCAGAAAATTGGCCAGCCTTAAGCGCTATTTCAGGGCGTGGATGTGCTAATCTTTGCGCATGCATAGAGATTTCTATTGTTACGTCACTAAATTAAGCGACTTTTTCCTCTGAGGTAAGCGTGCCTTTTGCTGTACTTACTGACAGTCTCCATGAAATAGACAGATAGGCTCTGTTAGCAGAAAATTGTGTGCTTAGCAGCGCCATCAAATTAGGCCCATATCTGTGAATGGACTTGTGCTGCATTTGTGACGGACCACACTATCCAGGTCTGGATACACCTCACCTAGCCAGTTGGGGTGTTGCCTAGAAACCCTTACCTTTCAGAGGATGAGGAAACTACTCCTGAGTCTCCAGGATTCTCCGAAGCTTGAGAAGCTCGCTGGGCCAGATTCTTGGCTTCCTGGATGGAATCCAGGCTAGCGTCACTGCGCTTGCTGTGCGGGTTTGCATTGGAGGCTTCGTTCACCCCGCCAGTTGAGCTACTCTCGTAGGTATCTTGGTTGATCGTCGTTGAGGACACATTGAGGTTAGGATCCGTTGTTATGCCTGTAAGGAGTTTCAATTGTTCCAAGTAGACCAATGTTAACGTTTGGAGTGAAATCGGGGAGTCGGGTTGGTGTAGGGGTCCTTTCCTCGCCTTCCACCGCTGTGACCCGGGTTCGAATCCCGCCTGGGCCAATATGTGGATTGGGTTTTCAGCCCCTGCCTGATTCCGTGGGTTTTCCCCAGACTATTCTTCTGGGGTTTTCCTCCCACCTCTGAAACTGTAATTTCTTCTCATTGTCTTCTCTCTACAGGTTTCTTCAGGCTTGCGAGCTACAGTGCCCAAGGCACTTTTGAGCAATCCTTTGTTTCAATACAAGAAATAAATAATAATAATAAAGATAATGATTTTAAAATGTGTACTCAGTGTTCGCAAGTTGAGCCTAACTGTAGATACCTGATGACTTGTAAATTTTGATAACCTGTGGAATTTGATGACTTGTGGATTTTAACGACTTGTGATTGACTTGACTCTAACTCTGATTTTGTTCCTAGAAAATAAATATAAAAAAAAAAACAATTATGTCGGCGTGTCTTTACCAGGCAGGACGGCTTCAGCGGCTGCAAGATGACCCATGTCAATCAGGTGACCCACTAAATCCTGCACCGTAGCGTTGACTGTTCCCCAGTCGTTGATGAGAACCATGGTAGGACTACCACCTGGGCGTCTATACTCCAGATCAAAAACCCTACATAAAATAGAGATGTAAATAACAACTGATATTTCACAGTGCAGAGGTGATATTTAGCAGACTCTGTGCAATAAATGAAGACAATTATTGCAGACAAACATAAGGGTTCAATTTCTATTTCTAAGGACCTTAATATACACAACAGTCCATGGGCTCCGTGTGCAAGAACGAGTTGGGGGAGACCACTGGGAGAGATATTTGAAAGCATTGCTCATGACGCCTGATGCTCTTGCGCGACGCTGTGGCTTTGGCACATTTAGAATAAGATAAGTCGTGCGTACTTTGCGCCATATGCGCGCGAACCAGTACGCGCATGCGGTGTGTCCCGTCCTCTGCTCTTGAAATTGGTTTTAAAAACAGCGCCCTCTCTTGTTTGTGTACTGAGCTTATGGTCCATATAGCTTATAATAATACCATTATTTCTTGTTTGGATTTGATTAACAACAAAAATGCCTCAGTGAATAACAGGTACTACTTTCCGACACCTTTTGGGTCTATATTACTGTAGATGGGCAGACATTACATGAAGCTGCAATGTCAACACCTTTAATGTTGCAAAAATGAAGGGTTTTAAAAATTTTATTCATGAATTGACATAAATAGCAAGTAGGGAAAAATCAAAAGGCGCACGTGTACAGAACCAAACACAGAGTGAAATGAATGAAACCTTCGTGCTATCATTTAAAGAAAAGAGATCTTGTGAGTCAAGTCCTTAACTCAATTCCCAAGACATGAATGCTAAAATCAATTTACATATGTGATGTAACAACTACAGAAATACAGTATTTTTTCTCATGTGTAAATAATTTCAGACAACAACTAAAAGTTTAAGGAAAGAAGATTCAAAAAAAAAAATTACGCAATCTCCTGAGGTCCATATCTGGGCTGGTCATCGCCCGGTCTGCGAGTGATTCTACTGGCGAGCCCTCTCCAGTCATGGTACGTGCTGCTCGGTGGGTCTAGCAGCCGGGCCAAATTGGCGAAGGTGGTATACGGCAAGCGCCGCAGGAGTGTCGAACCTTGGACCGGCGCACGGAGGGGCATGACGATGATCACTCAGTGCCTGGCGTCGATTTCTCACAAAGTCTTTTCAAATTTTCCAGTGGCTTGGAATCTACCTCAGTCAGTATGTGCTGATGAACCTTTGGGGAAAGGAAATTTTGACAATTTAGGAGATGTTTGCAGTTGGACCACGCGAAGCGACGAACTCTATACATGAGAAATCTGGCTCAATCTAGCGAGTCTCTCTCTGGAGTTTTGGTAATTTCATTTCTCCAATTTCATGTTTTCGTTTCACTATACTCGCAATGAGTGACCATGCAGTGAGTTTATATATGATGAAATCGTGCTGTCAAGATACTGTTTTTACTTCAAAACTGGTCATGCCAAAAAGGCAAGAGGTTAAACATGTCTGAACAACAAAAAATCTGTGATGAGGAGAGTTTCCTTTTGATTTTTCTATAAAACTAATTCTCTGAAGTGAACGAAACACCATCATACTAGCTGTATAAATGTGCGTTTCAAATACTGTAATTCCTTCGTATTTAGCTCGAACCACACAAGGATGCGTGGACAATTTCCTGATAACTTGCGGTTTCCTGATCCACTGGATACAAATTTAATGATGAATTTGATTTTAAAAAAAAAATTGAAAAAAAATTGTCGTTTTTCAAATTCTCCCCATTTATAACTTCCGGTTTGATGATGTCATGATCCTAAAACCTTGCAAAGTCCTTGCAGTTGTCCAAAGAATGTATCTATTGGCAATTTGGTAAAATTTCAACAAATGGTCTTAAATTTTAAAAAGTTCAACTTTCTTTGATGTGCCGCTAGGGGGCGCCCTTTCTGATGATGCATGACATTGTCATACCGTGTTTTGTTTTTGGCATCCCTCAACCTCTATTAACATTTCCATAATTTGTTTGGTTGTAGTAAAATTCTCCCGATTTCAAGTTACGTTCAATTCTCATTGCACTTCCGGTTAAACGGGAAGTAATGGCTTTATGGCTTGCGGCTGTGGCTTTGCGTCTGGTCGGGAATCCAAAATGTGGTTTGAGCCTGACGCAATGTAATGTCTACCTGATTAAAACAAAAATAAGAACGGCACGTAGGATGGGGTCTACCCGATGTTCCCCAATACCGATGTTCCCCACTACCGATGTTCCCCGAAATCCTTAGGATTAGGGTTAAAGATAGGGTTAGGGCTAGGGTTAGGGTTATAGGGTAGGGATTTCGGGGAACATCGGTATTGGGGAACATCGGTATTGGGGAACATCGGTATTGGGGAACATCGGTATTGGGGAACATAGGTATGCACCCATGTAGGATTACTCCATTCATTTCAACATTTTCATGAATGGAGTGCTGGATGAAGATTTGTCACAGTAAATGTTCAGTCATGATTGCAATGCCGGTACAACTGCAAAAGCAATTGGGGACAGGTTCTCGGTCAAATATATACACTCCATAATCAGGCAACGCAACTTTCCGGCCAGAAAATTTAGTATACATCCCTGTGCGGCTCTAATAAATATGGAGGAAGTCCAGAATTTATGGGGCTATACCATCCTACTTCTAAGTTCTAGAATTAGAAGGCACCCGTTGTGCTTTATACCATCCATCTTGGTTTATGGAGTATTTACGTTACGTTAGGCCCCCAATATATATTGTTGGAAAATCAAAACTGCAATATTAAACGTGGAATTAACCACATTACTTCTAGGAGGTGCAGGCCTTCTTAAGTAGGCCTAAATACTATACACGGTCACCTTTTTCAGTTCTGCGGACATCACATCATGCAGTCATTGGCTTATAAATCAATTTTTGTCATGCATTGCATGGCTTTAAACTTCCAACGCTACAGTACAAACTTACTTAGATAAGTCTACACACACAAAACCTAGCTGGAGTTACCCAGCCCTAAATTTTATCATTGGGTAAATGACAACCCAATGATAAAATTTAGGGCTGTAACTCCAGCTACACAAAACCCACGAAGTCAAGCAATCATAAAACATGAAACAGAGATCGACCACTAACTTCAAAAGAAAAGCACACGGCGTCAGCTTCTAACTAGATCATCACGAATGATGTAAGTTTGAAGAGCAACTCAGTACTCGTTCATCATGTTCATACTTCACTGAGATTCTGACCCTGTTTTACCGTACGTTGCACACATGCTGGGGATTCCCTGAACCACTTCCTGTATGCATCCTGTTTGCGCGCGTGTTGCGACATCGACATTTAACACTTGACCCTGACGTCACTGAAGCGGTCCCCCATTGGCTGAATGTTTAATTAGGCTTTAAAGGAGCACTCACTTATCTTGGGCAGTGCAAAATGATTGGGCAAGGTGACAATTTAAAACAAAAACAGCAATAATATTTGTAGAAAAATTATATATTTTAATCTCTAAACTTCAAGTGAAAACTTCAAGGGGCAAAGAGACCGAATGGAACTAAACACATTTTTTTTCTCAGTTGAATGGCAGTTTGACAAGGAAGCGACACAAGGAAGAGCACCCTGCACAAGTGTCCACCATTTGAGACAGCACACCACAGTCCTCGTTAAGTTGCTGAAAAGGCTTTAAAGCCCGCGTCCATCATTTGCAGCTATCCAAAAAAGTAACCGGCGTAATTATTGTTGAAAAACATACTGGTTGAAAGATAGTAAGGGGACTAAACTCCCTGCGAAATTATCCTTTCTGGCAAGCTCTCATTTTGAAGAAATCAACGAAAGAAGGCATTTCCAACGGTGCTTCTTAAGAAGCACCATAGGGAAATTTAAATTATATTTTTCGTTTTGTTATTCGGCGCAGCACGTACAAGCATTGCTATAATTCGTTGGATCAGTGCGCAACATCGCCTAAAGCTGCAATTCAAAACAATTCGAAACATGATTTAGCAACTTTTGATTTTAAATTGAGATCCTAGAATGCTGTTTTTCTCGGAATATACAGCTGAAGCTGAGCTGAAACTTCATCAGGTTAGTTGTTCGGTATCCTTCATTAGATTTTGAGCACTTTTGTTGCTTCAAACGAACAAAATGCACTAATTACAAATGATGGACTATAGCTTTAAACGAGTAGCAGCATAGAAGTTAGCCTTTAGTCAAGTCCCACGCGCCTATACCCGGACCATCCGGACACGTAACGCATCCCGGATGCTGGCACGTAAAAAGACTAGCGCGAGCGGCAAAGCCGCGAGGGCCTTTACTATCTCGTGGAACTAATCACTTATTCATTTATTCACGTAATATAAATCTAGCAATATAAACCAATCATCTAACGGTGGTTTGCGGTTACCAGCAACAGCACCCGCGCCATATGGCTCGCGTGCTGTCTGGCGCCAGACGACGGCTGATTTATGTTAGTAATTCTGCATTTTCATTGGTCAATTCACAACGGGTAATGCATTATGCATGTCTACCAAATGGGTAGACAAAATGTAAAGAAAAACATAAGCGTTCTCCACGAGATGGTAAAGGCCCTCGCGGCTTCGCTGCTCGTGCTAGTCTTTTTACGTGTCAGCATCCGGGGTGCGTCACGTGTCCGGGTAAGCGCGTGGGACTTGACTAAAGGCTACATAGAAGTAGAAGTAGAAGCATATCAAAATAATATCGGACGCGTAATTTTTATTCCTAGGAGGGTTAGGGGCAATGTCATGAATAATTCATGTTTATCCATGAGAGCGGACAATGACATCAACAGCATTGTTGTTAGTTACTCAACTAGTTACAATACATTAAAGCATTTTAAAGAACGGTTGTCGTCGAGCTACCACACAGTAGCCTAGTGGATAGCGAGATGAGCTATGGATACAAAGATCCCTGGTTCGAATCCACGTCGTCGCTGCTCATTTTCATCAGCTATTTTTCTTCTCCAAATTTATCACTGAGATAATTTTAAATTAAGGGGAAAATAGAACGAGAACCTAAGTCTTGCAATGATTCAAAGGAAAAACTGAATTATTCATGACATTGCCCCTAACCCTCCTAGGAAAAAAAATTACGCATCGCGCGTTCCGTACTTCAACACAGCATAATAGTCTGGCACCCCTCCGTTTTATGCACTTAATCATAGCTGTTGTAGCAGGGTACCATTACACCCCTAAACATTTCTTCGCGCGTACGTGTCAACATCGTGTCCAGGATGTTCGAGCAGTACTCGCCCACTACTAGCTGCTCTGTTGGAAATATAGTCAGCACTGGGGACGAGGTTGCGTACGTGCATAACGTGTGTACGTACGTACATACATACACAGTATACGTGCCGTATTAATTATGTTGTGACAATTCAACGCAAACGTTCACGTGTTGTTTCTCTATTGCGCTACTCCCATTTTTTACCTTGAGCTACCTGATCAGGTAGGTCCTGTAGCCTAGTTTTGATAATTGAGTTTTGGTTGTTTTTTTCGTGTGTTTTATGAATGCACGGAGGAGGGATGCTGGCATGGCTGGCCTCAGCTGCTCAGCTCAGTTTGTTTTGCAGTTGATCGAGTTGGCAATGGTTGATTTCCTTGTCATGCATGGGTAGTCTGACCGATTGCAGGTCAACTCGCCCCCTGGCCGACTCGCCTCTTACCGACTCGCCTCTTACCGACTCGCCCCTTACCGACTCGCCCCCTACCGACTCGCCCCCTGACCGACTCGTCCCCTGACCGACTCGACCCTTACAAGCTCGCCCCCTGGCTGACTCGCCCCCTAGCTGACTCGCCCCTTCGCCAACTCGCCTCTAGTCCTAGCCGACTCGCCCCCTGACCGACTCGCCCCCTGACCGACTCGCCCCCTTGAAAATTAAGCACCGTACGGGGACATCGTGAAATAAAAATAAAGACAGTGGAGCACATTGCCCGGTCACAACGTGAAACTTAATGGAGCCAAATTATTCAAACGCCAGTTTGAAAGATTTCCGATACCAATGCAAAAAACTATTGATCCTTTATAAAGAATTTGGGTTGGAAACACCTTAGCACAGCTTTTAATACCGATATAGCGCAGCGTGATTTTTCGCGGAGTGCCCGTGGCATAGGGCCCGTTGGGCCTGTGCGCGTAGTGTTCACGGTGACTGCCGGCGCGCGGCAGGTACCGGTGGGTGCCGGCGCGCGCGGCAGGTATACCCGCGTTCACTGTTTGTCAATGACATAACTTGTAAATCTCGACTCTGGGTCCTCCGTTTCATAAAAATGTTTTTAGAAATGATGTATATTTGAAAAATCAAAAAAATGTTTTTCATTTTTTGGTTTAGTGGTGTTGTTATCAAACATACCGAACGGTTTTGAAAAAGTTATAAAAGAGGCTTAGTTATGGAACTTTCAGAACAAAATTGTGAATTGCGCAATCGTAATAGTTCAATCCCAAAACTCAGATAACGAAGCTGATTTGCTGGACCCTCTGTATTCCCCTCCACTGACTTTATTTTTTTTTTACGATGTCCCCGTACGGTGCATCATTTTCCAGGGGGCGAGTCGGTCAGGGGGCGAGTCGGTCAAGGGGCGAGTCGGCTAGGAGGCGAGGGGGCGAGTCAGCTAGGGGGCGAGTCGGCAAGGAGGCGAGCTTGTAAGGGGCGAGTCGGTCAGGGGGCGAGTCGGTCAGGGGGCGAGTTGGTAAGGGGCGAGTCGGCCAGGGGGCGAGTTGACCTGACACCGTCTGACCATGGAGGAATAAAAACACAGTGTTTTTATTCCTCCATGGTCTGACTCTGAGTATACCCGTTATCATGGTTATCCACGGAGCCACAACTCCTGTATAACGTCTGATAATGTCAGAGCATGCAGATTTATGCGATCTCGCGCCTCAGCCAATCGGAGTCGACTTTGTCTTTACTAAATCTTGACGTCATTTCATTCCCAAATCATTAATCAGGACTAAATGTGTGATTGGTCAATTCGATTGCAGTGTTTTGTAATACAACAATAGCCGGGCGCGTATCGCGTAACATAATACCATGGAGTTAATATACAAATCGCGAAACCACAACCTTTGTTGCTGTGTCTACTTTTTTTTATCCATGTCTACAATGGTCTATGACGCGACAACGGTGAATGACCGAAGACCCGATATAGGCCTAGATAGCGCCCGCAGATTGGTCAATATCTAGAGGTCAAGATACGGTTGTCTTCAATGTCTTGCATAATTAATCAGCGAATCTGCTCAAATGTTATATAGACTATGGCTAGTCCGAGTAACAAAGACTCTACGAATTGCCTTTTTTTTAACATTTGGACATGGTCGGGCGATGGAAGGGTCCAAGTGGATTGTTAGACATGGTGTCGGGAATAACCTGCAAGCCAACCCTTTGCCAATAAAAACACCAGATTTCACCCCCAAAACATCCACAGAATTATTGAATACGCCACGTGAGATACAAGTAGAGATAGATGTTTCAGATTGAGGTACTAGGTTTACTTACGATCTGGATGAAAAGTGAAATTTACCATTTATCGGTGAGGGCTCCATTGCAAATTTTCAGTCACTTGATATGCAGGTACTGAGGTAGTCGGCTTTTGAAGACAGTGTTTTCTTGAAGAAAAAAAACTCAAGCAAGTCTATACATAATGACATTGGCATGTATTGTTTTGTAATGCCGTGCTAATATTTTCCTTAGATAATGGTTCATCTCCAGATGTGTAATGGTGAAGGCCTCTCACAATGTCGCAGCAACAGCTAGGCAGTTCTTGTGTGTTCCAGCACGGGGTTGAGGTGCTTCATGGGAATGGTCTGTCTGGGAAGGCCTTGTCGCTAGCTTGTGATTCTTGTAACGTCCAGGAGTTGGGTAAGCATCTTCATCCTAGCTTATTCTTAGAGTTTCTTGAGTTCCCTCCAGTTTGTTTTTTTTTCAGAACCACACTTTACTCACAAAAGAGATTTACCACATATGGTTCTACCGCAAACAACTTATCCTATTATTCTTAGAGATGGCCCCAAAATATTGTTAAGAGGCATTTACTACATCTTTCCACTTTCAGGTTGTTGATTAAAAAGGCATATAGGTCATGTGCTAATGATGTATTTTGTTCATTTCCAATAAAAAACATCACTCAAAATCCAAAGTATGAATGTTGAACCCAACCTGTTGAAGTTTCAGCTCAGTGGATATTATACCTTTTGAGAAAACAGTGAAAAACCACGCACAGCCTTTTGTTCACGAAAAACTATTTTGTCCTTGGCACTCTTTATTCCAAAAATCAGTCGCCAGTCAATTGACTGATTGTTGGAAATCACCTACATTTCTTGATTTCTTCTAAATGACAGCAAGCCAGACGGAATAATTTCACAGGGCGTTTAGTACCAGTACAATCCTTAATCCATGTAAAGCTTTTTTATCATAATTTGGTATGTTACGTTTGGGATAAATGCAAATGACCAGTTATGCCTTTAACCCTCCTGCTGTTAGAACAGTCACAGACAGTCAAAAAATCAATACTCTTCCCCTAAAACTATCTAGTGTGGCCCACGCCCAATGTTATGTAAGATGGCTCCAAAAACAGATGTGCAAAACAATATAAAACTCAGGCCATGAAAACCATGAAAAAGAACTTAGCATTCGCAAAGCTGACTGCTCAATACGTGCGAATAAATTTGTATATCGCTGCATGGAATGTGCATGACGCGTCATCGCTAGAGGGCGCACTATCACAAGAATCAAGTTTTGTTCAATGGAAATATTTACGACAGCTGAGCTGCAGACATGGGTATTTGAAGGGGGTAAGAGATTCACAAAAAGATTCAGGAGGATTATGAAGGTAAAGTAAGCTTGTCGAGGGACCGGTTGACCGTATTATTAATCTGTCGACAATTATGCAAATATGACAAGGAGTGCATGTGTCAAGTCTTCAACTTGGTGTGAGAAGAACTTGCTTGAATGTAGGGGCGAGAGGCAGTAGGAATGTTACGACTCAGTCATTGATACCTCATGCGGTATCTGTAAACTTTGAAGGAGATTATCGTCTGTCAACTGAGAAGGAAACTAATTTCTGTTTCCATTTTATGCTGTAGAACCTGAAATTCCAGCTGCGGGTACGTGTGCCACAAGTTCTTCGTCAACAGAGGACCATCATGTGGATCTATTCCAGTACGTACAGGCCCTCCTGGAGGAGGGCCTCTTTGAGAAGGCCCTGTCGCTGAGTTGCGAGTGCTATCGTGACCCGGAACTCGGCAAAGACACCGTGTTCCTGGAGACGGCTCTCATACTTTTCACAAATATGGAGAAGCTGGATATGATGTGGACTGAGGTAAGAATGTTTAAAAATCTTGAGACAGAAATGAGGGATTTGTACCAGGAAAAGGGACAAATTGGTTATTGTTCTCGGAGATTTCCTTACGTTGATTAAACTCTTCAAAATAGCTGTATTTCTTAAACATTATAAAAAAATACCATCAACTGAAATTAGAAGTGTTTTGTCATTACAAAACTCATTTTGTGAACTTCTCAATACAAATAAAATTTGAAAAGAATTGATTTTACGATACAACATATCACTAAGAATTTATCACAAAGTGGCTACTTTAATAGGTCTCTTTCAAATGACGTCATTTCCTACAGACCAGCCACGTGCATCGGCATTTTGAGCGTCAACTTGCATAACACGCATCAGCTGCGTCGTATTTCGAACACATTTCGAGCAACAAGCGCGCGTGTTTGGAGCATTTTCAACACTGCGCAATGCGTGCTTGATTGCGTAAAATACGCAGTTGCAGTTCTCCTACAGAGATGGCCATCATTGAGCTAGCCCTATTATGTCTGGACATGCTCGTAATGTTTTACACCAAACTGTCCCAAGAGAGTTTTCGCGTACCATTTTCAAGACATTGGAGCTTAGTGATGCAGGACAAGAGGAATGCATCCAAGATATCTATGGAAAACTGACAGCCCCTAGTGTATGATACAACCATAAGAATGGTGATTAAGTTCATAGCTTGTTCATTTTATCCCTTTGTTTGTGGGTTACCTTTTGAGGACACCTTGCGAAGGGGAGGCAGCACAACCATAGCAACCAATAAGATGTTAGAAACTCGAGGCCGTTGCCTGTCCTCTAGTACATGTGTGTTAAGAGGTTAGGGCCTGATTTCACGGCCCTGCTTAACAGTTAGCAGAAAAGTTGCGCTTAGCATAGCAGAAAAATTTGCTAACCTTAAGCAGCACTATTTCACAGCGTGGACATGCTAACGGTCGCGCGTGCATGGAAATTTCTATTGTTACGCCACTAAGTTAAGCAACTTTTTCCTCTGAAGTAAGCATGTCCTTTGCTGTGCTTATGCTTACGGTCTCCATGAAATAGACGAAGGCTAGCAGAAAATCGTGTGCTTAGCAACGCTGTGAAATTGTGCCCAGGTCTTCAGTCTCTAAGGCGTGTTGCTTGGCCAGCTCAGACACAGCAGCCCAGGTGAGGGTGCTGGAGTTTGCCAGTGGTGAGTTTTGTTGCCTGATTTTTTTCTTCCAGTGGTGACAGTTTTGTTGCCTGATTTTGTTTCCCCTCAGGTTAAGAATCTGGATTCTATGCAGCAGCTGTACCCTGTGGCTAAGACGCTTAGTCAGTATTACCTGTCGGCTGCCCTGCTTACTGCAGAGATGTTGCTGTGCAAGGAATGGTGTAAGTAAGCACCATAGTTTTTGACCCTAACCCCCTAGGCCTTTTGGCTAGGATGCAACCTCAATCCTGCAAAATCCTCCAACTGCCTCCATGTAAAAATAGCATACAGCCTCAATCCTGCAAAATCATCCTTTATTTCTTGAATGTGGTCCGTGGAGGGGTGACCACTGCCTCAATCCTGCAAAATCCTCCGGCAATCACTGTCAATATGTTGAGGTAGAGCCAGTGACATCCTGGAGCAGTGCGAAAGATTTCAAGTATAGGCATTAATTTATGCACGGCTGAGCATATACAACACAAGGTCCGGCCTAAGACCTTGACACAGTGCATCCTCCGAAATCAGCCACACACTTTTGCGATATAGTGTCAATCCTGCAAAATCCTCCAGTTTGCAAAGAGGACTTTAATCGATAAAAACTGACAGTGTGAGTAAGTTACTAACAGTGCACCACCTAGCATTCGCTGCATAGAGCCCTTGTTTAAAATTTGTAGTCGACTTCTTTTGTTGGCTATCCTCAGTTGAAGGTAATATACAAACATAAAAAAACACAACTACCAAATTATTATGAATTAATACTTAACTGTAAGTAAATAGTAGTCTCAAGCATCCTGTGAAATCATGGTGTGCTGTCTTTTCAAGAAAAGTGGAATGTTTGTCTCAATTTCCAATGACTGGTCGGCTGCCCATCGTTGGGAAAAAAATGTCCACATTTTGTTTGCAATCGGTTACACATCCATGAACGGGTGCAAGCCAGCTAGTCAGGGAACCAGTCTCTGGGGGTTTTTTTTTTTGGGGGGGGGTTCCAGCATCTAAGAACACAAAACTTTAAACAAGTCAGTGTAACAATATTTGCTACAAAATACTAACCCCAAAATCCATCCATTTCTGAAAATTAAAGCAAAAGCAAATGTTGTATATTACCTTAAATCTCCCGTCCATTGGTGTTTACATGCGATAACACACGAACAGAAATGTGGAGGCCTTGTAAATAAACTCATCGTTATTCACACAGAAAATTCAAACTTCGTTCTAGCAAATTGCATTCTAGCAGTTTTTGTGTCTGACTTTCCAGAAAATATATATATCAATTATAAGTCACAGATAGTTTTGGTTCTATGTGCAGTTTGTTTCACAGTGGTCTCATGTTGTTTGATTCGCTGTGATTAGGTTTTGTAACTCGGAGGTGGAATTCAATCTGTACCTGTATGTTTTTGTTTGGTAGGTGAGAAGACTGTGTCTCTGAGTGACCTGCGGAAGGTCACGACCCTCTGGGTGTCCCTCCTGCGGGCCCAGTGCGGCCGCAACAACGAGGCCTTCCAGACCAAGGTGCTGCAAGTGGGCAAGCTGATCGTCCACGAACCAACATTCATCTTGAACCTGGTCAAGTCCATCCATGCCGAGGTGAGGACGTGATGAAAGTTGTCCCGGTGAAACTATATACAATGTGTGTTTATAAAGTGCAGGTATCCACCAGTATTGGTGCTCAAGGCGCTGCATCATTATTACCCTGCTCATTGGGCAATTGAAGCACTCCAAATACTATCTCAGCTCCCTGGAGAGTGTACAGCTCGATGCAGCCATTTCGGTGCAAAGCAGCTAAAATCGATCACAATAACCATCTCTGCCCTCACAGGTACCCATTTCTCTGCCCTCACAGGTACCCATTTACTCCTGGGTGGAGAGTAGCAATGAGTGACAAAGTGCCTTGCCCAAGGGCACACACACCATAACCCCAGGCTGGACTCGAACCCACAACCAACAGAATTACCCACAAGACCACAAATTCAATGCTCCACGTATTAGGCAAATACATATTTAGGGTCTTCGGTCAGCCCATATGTTTGTGCGTTGGGGTCCTTTGGTCCCCAAAATCCTCTGCTGATAATATTCGTTAATTTTTCATTTCACCCCAATCTCACCCCTGCAAGTGTCAAACATTTAAAATTTCCAAAAAGGTGAATAAGTGGATTAGGGTTTACTATCCCTGCCTGTTTTCGTGGGTTTGGGCTGAAAATTGATTCCATGAACAAATGATCCCCCGTGAAAGTTGCAAAAAGTGTTAGGAAAGACATTTGAAGACACTCATGCGAAGATGATACAGATTTATGAACATTCAGGATAAACTTAATCATACCTGCTTTGCATCATGTGCACGTGAACCAGTGGGCAGACACTGTAAGTCCAGCACCTGATTTTACGAAAAGCTGCGACGCGTCACAAATCGAGTTGCGATGCATAACACGTCGCAAGTTGCAACGCGTCATATCATCCATTTCACAAAACTTGCCATGTGTTGAACGCGTCGTAAGTTTCTTGACAAGGTTTAAAAACACTTCGCAAGTTAACAAGCGTCTTTTCTTCGCCAGTTTTATGACATAAAAATTAAATAGATGAAACTATAGTACCCAGACAATGTGTTGTAAGTTGTAAATGGAATATGCATAGAAGTAAATATGAATAAGCCTGGAAACATTCGCTCTTTTCACACTTACGCCATGGGCATGCAAAGCCTTGATCTGGCAACATTACACAATAAATATAGCCGGTTCAGTGATTCCCGTGTCGGGGTTCAGATCACTGAACCGGCTAGTTTTATTGTGTAAAGTTGCCAGCGATCTAGGCTCTGCATGCCCAATGGCGGAGTGTGAAAAGAGCGAATTACAGTTAAAATGTCGAAGTAGCTAATAGTCCACCGGGACCTTGTTTAGCTTTAAAACTGCATCATACGTCTGCCATTTTGTTTACGTTTTAAAAAGTTTTCGAGTAAAGATCCGACGACTCTTTGCTGAATGTCAGACGACTATTTACTGTGCGATGAATAAATATATATAACACAGTGCATCCTCCGAATCAGCCACACATTTTTGCCATATAGCCTCCATCCTGCAAAATCCTCCTTTTTGCAAAGAGGATTTTGGAGGTTTTGGGAAGGTTAGGGTTAATAACAATGATAACCAGGCAGTGTGTTTCACTCAAGCTAATGTCAGTAATCACATGTGATATCCACAAAATATAACAAATGTTGGCGCTAGGTTTACCTTGCTCATGTACGCGACATGTACTACTACTAGGCTCCATTTTCATGAAACTGCTAGGAGTGCTAGGCAGACGGTTTTCTGCTTACAAATTTTTGTCCATTTCACGTTGAATGTAAGCAGTAGGCACACCTAAGGGCATGCTTACATCTAAGACAGAATTTACTTAAAATAATAAAATAATCTCCATTCATGCTTGGGCATGAACATGTCTATGTCACAGTGCAGTTTTACTCAGTTTTTTTTGGGGGGCGGGGGCAAAGTTTGCCTTTCACCAGCACGTTATTATTTTCTGCTGTGAATTAGCTGCTGTTTCAATATTGAAACCAAGGCCTTTCTAACAGCTCCCTTACTTTTTTTATGTTACAGTATATCTACACTAGTCCACCGTTATGAAGTGACAATTTTTTTATTTTTATTTTTAGGTTGGAAGGCAGTCATTGGTTATCTGCCTGAATCTGTGTTTGATGGCCCTCCAGGAGCCTCTCAAGGACCCACAGAGCAACCTGGTCAGTGCCAGTCGCATTGACACCAACAATGCCGCCCTCTGCCGCTTTCTCTCAGAGGTCTTGACGGAAGACACGAGCCTGAGGCGGCTGTGCCTCCTGACAGCGTTCACGATCACCCCCACCAAGGAACTGCTCGCTGAAGTGGACAGAGTGTACAAGTCTGTCGCTGTCCAGATCCCAGATGTGCCCATCATGCCGTCCTGTCTAAACTGCGTCTTGGTGCACGGCATGTACAGCCTTCTCCCCGACGCCATCTGTCCCTTGGTAGACTGGCGGGAGCTGCGTGGGAAGTGCCTGAAGTACCTGCGGGACAGCAGCGTGCTGAACGTGCAGGTCAAGCTGCCAAATCGTGAGATGGCCCTGAAGGTGTACGTGAAGAAAATCTCTCCGAATGTCAATGAGGAAGAAGGCGAGCGGATGGAACCGATGAAATCTGCTACAAAGACAAAGGCCAAGGAAGGTTCCTCGGAAGAACAAGACCAAGATCTTCCCAGACTACGCACAGAATCGGAACAGCGATGGCTGTCCGCTATGATGTCGCTTGACATGTCCTGGCAGCCCCACTGGCTGACCACCAGTGATGCGGGTAACCAACAAGCAGAACCAGACCTGAAGGAATCTCAGACGCAGAGTCAGAAAAGCCCCGAGCTTGGCATCGCTTCTGATGTGCCACCACCTGATCAGGAAGAAGTACATCCGTGTGCGGTGGTGCTGTGTAACTTCAAAGATACCCTGTTGGGGCATTTCCATCTCTTAGAGGACAAAGCCAACAATAACCAATCCCACCAATCAACTCAGGAGGAAAGCCCAGGCGCGTTGTTGACAGCGCTGCAAGAGGACCATGCATATAGCCTCCCTCCTTCCAACCAGCACAAACAGACACCCAACGAGGAACTCTGTGTTAGCCAGGAAATGAGCACCACTGAGGAACAAAAGAAAACCTTGAACGTGGTTGAGGAATGGAATGATAAGGATCAGTATCAACATAACATGGTGACTCAGGGCCTTAATGGCATACAACTCACAACAGGCACGCCAGTTGAGGAAGGCTCAGAAAATTCTGACAGGAGCAGACATGAAGCAGTTCTTCATGGCAACAACCAAGAACACATCGACCCTACAATCGAAAGGTGCCTGGATAGTCTAGACACTGAATTGTCCTATTTGGAAGAGCAAAATAACCTTGAAAAGTCTCCAGAGAGGGAAGATAGGTTAACAGATGAAGGAAGTAACCTTGAAGTACATCAAAACTTCCTAGCAGACCTTAAAGATGATATGATCGACCCTGAGTTACCAGTACTAAATCCGGCTATAAACGGCTCCATCAGCACAGAAGAGGAACCCCCCAGTGACTTGGCCGAAGACATCAATAGGTGGTTCCAGAACATCAAACAGCCATCAGAGGCAAGCAGTATCGTGGGATCTGATGTGACACCTGATCCCGTCACAGAAGAGGGTATGCAGTGGTCGGCCATCGAAGCGATATCCGGCGATGGAAACCAAACCCTCTACGAATCGGGCTGGAATGAGCTGAGTTTGTGGTTCTCCGAGGACGAGGACGTGAAAAAGCCGGCGGCCCCCAAACTAGCAGTCTCCTCCTCCATCACAGGAGCCAGTCTTCCCACCTTCAGGGACCCTGACAGTCTGGAAATCAGAAATCCCGAAGCAGACTCAGGAAGAGGGATCTGCAGTTTAGAGAGCACAATCAACAGACTCCGAGCAAACCTCTGTGTTGTTGATAGTGGACCTTGTCAAGATGAGTGGGAGGACTCGCCAGAAGTCACAAGCAGCAGCCCTCCGACAAGCAGTCTACAAACACCTCGTGGTAAGTCGAGCAAACAGCAGCACACACAACTGAATGTATTCAGCCAGCAGTCTTACCACCAGCAGTTGATTGACGGACAGTCGCCAAAAGTTGACCAAACTCAAACCAGTGAACAGTCCACTGAGCGACCGGTGTTCAACCAACAGTCGTTTGTCGGAGCAGTAACCACACTGAGACCTTCCACCGATAGCCCCAAGTCAACCGATCCACAGCCCATAGACAATGCCACATTAAACCAGTTGTCTTTCAACCGACAAATTGCTGCTGACTGTTTACCTGTAGGAAACTCAACCAACCAACAGGACTCTAACCAACCTTCAGATAATCCTCTCCCAGTGATGAAACATGCAATTGGTCAAGGATCATCAAACAAACCACCAGCAGGCAAACAGGAGCATAAGGCCAAAGTAGGGACAACAGAGACAAGCAGTCACTTTGTGAACATCAGGCACAACGACTTAATTTGTGGAACGGAAACACTCATGTTGGACACGACATCCAGTGACAGTCTTCAGCATCCTAGGTCAAATACGGAAGCAGTGCTGCATCCTCATCACTCCAGGAATGATAAAGAAACAAACAGCAGTCCTCAAAAGTTTGATGCATCAGAACAGCATAATGAGGTCCAGCAAGACTTGTTCACAAACGAGAGCCCTTCAAGAAGCAGCATTATGACAATAAGTCCGGACATTAAAACGGAGAAAAGGGTTGATCTAACTTGCGAAGAGAAACCAGCCCTTGAATCTGAAAACGCAACCGATTTCAATCCCCAATATGATGTGGCAACGTCAATGTCTGCTGCTGAGAGCGACAGTATGAACTCATCTCTTGTTCACAAGACGACAAGAACAGAGTCTGATTTTAAGGAAACTCCATTTCAAAATGAGTCCAGGACTCGATTGCTGGATTCGTTGTTGTCTTTTGCTGTTCAAGAGTACAGACAGATTACTGGGTCGTCTGCAGATAGAGAGACTGCGCGAAACACAGACACAGTGGAATCTACATCAGAGAGAAGTTTGGCTAAAGAAGACCACAAGTTGCCTCTGCAGCTAAGCAGCCAAACATCCAGAGACGGTGATGCTGCGAGTGTCTCAGAGAACCCAGATGTCACAACCCAGGTGATACACTCAACGATTCTACATGCTCCTGCAGACTTGCTGTCAGGGGTGGAGCTGTCACCGGAACACAAACCTGATGGATTGATTACATTTCAGAATGGGCAGTTGGCCATTTCAAACACGGAACGGTACGCGACTGAAGCTGCGGGATGGAGGAATGCCGGTCATTATGGTATCCCGGACAGCAGTAATGATGTGAAACTGCTGGCTCAAAGAAAATTAGACAATAGCAATCATCAACTTCTAGAATCGGAGTCCTATTTCAGTAACGATAGGATCAAGGAATTCCAATCTGACTCGGACTGCAGTGACTTTGAGGTGGTCCAGGATGTGAGTTCCAGGTGGTCTGTCAGCGGAAAGAGGAAAACATCGGAGCCGTATTCCTGGCCACACAAGAAAGTAAGTGGCCAACATCAAGAGGTTAGAAAATGTAAGGAGAGGAGCGAAACTCAAATAGATGAATCGAGGGAGATCAGAGAGACTCAAATAGATGAATCTAGGGAGATGAGAGAGACTCCGAACACACAGATGTCCGAGAATAAATCTGACCCTGCCAAGAGGAAAGCAACTGTGAGCTGCTCTACTTCGCCCCTAAAAGAGGACAAACAAAATCTGCAGGAAGCAGGAAGATCAAGTGTTACAGATGAGACGCAAGCCCCGAAACTGGCAGCAAAGGTGAAGAGGAAAGACAGCACAACGTCTGCAAAGAATAAGTCTGATTCAACAGGGAAGGTGAAGGAAACAACCTCACCTCCCTCGCATGGATACAATCTCAGAGATACCGACCGCCCTCTCAACTATTTTGTCGCTGGCTCCAGCAGTGAGACGTCGGGGGAGGAGAGAGGGACCAAGATGGGCTACAGTTTGAGGAGTGCGGCAGCCCACAGTAGTAATGCAAAATCGTCAACCAGCAGAACACCAAAGAAGCCACCTCGTGCTTTCAAATCAGTGCAGACCAGACCGCGATCGCAACCACACAGTAATCGCAGCTGCCGCAGTGCTCCGGGGAAGAAAGCTGGAAGTCTCGCAAAGCCGGGATCCAAGCGCAGGTCGCTAAACCCTTGTGGCAAGTGCATCGCTGATCTCAACAACAACTGCAGCAGCGGCAGTACGGGTACTGTCATCAGCCATCATACCAACAGTAGCACTCCTGCAAGCAAGAAGTCTCCCTCAGCAATTCACCCGAAGGTGGCGTCCCCTAAGCAAACCCCTGGTGTCCGCGGCAGATATACAGCGATCAAGAATCCCCAGCTACCGTGGGAAGCCAAACCACCGATACGTACCTACTCCTCCAAAAGGAAACGTTCCTCCACATTATGAAGCTGGGTAGGTTGTTTAGTGATAGTTCCCCAGGCTCTGCAGAGGCAAATAACATCTTTGTCAACTCTTTGTGTTTTTTAAGCAATACAACATTTTTTAGCAATACAGAATGGAACAAAAAGTGGAAGACTCTGTTTTGGAAAGATTTTATTTGGCTTTCCATGTATAAATATCAGCTGGGAATATTCCAGATGTACCCATCTTGTGTAAATTGCGATGCTAAACTGAAATAGATCTACATGTATTGGAGCTAAAAGAAAAATCCACCAGAAATGCAATTTTATAATAGCAACTATAACAATTACTTCTTGAAATATGTTTAACTTTAAGAGCAGTTTATTACATTTTTTTTTAGATCAACTCCATTTTGTCTCATGTAGTGTAGGATGGGATTTGAAACTTTCTAGAACTTGCAAATAATTAAACAAAAAAATGGATTACAAAAATACTTTTTTTTGTTACTGAAACATTATCTTCAAATCCCTGTCCACATAAAAGCATTTCAAAAATCAGTTACGTCAGTGAGAATTGATGATCAATGTTCTGTTTTCATGTGGAGACACATACAAATTTAGTGCCTTTTGTATTCTAATAATGGATGAAGATTTTGTGGCGGAGTACTTTGTGACTTAAAACGTCCGGTTCAAGCATAATGCAAAGCAAAAATTATAGGCTCATTTCGGACAAATTAGTTGTTCTACTTATGTGAATTTGCAAAGCGAATTCTCACCATGATGTCACAAATGTACAATCACATGTCCTTTTGTGCCAAGTATGAGCCGGATTTTAGGGGCGGGGGGGGGGGGGATATTTCTCCTAAAGTGAAGATAAAACTCCAAATGCACTTTTTGACACGTTTTTAATTTAACAGCAATTCATGATTATTGTGATAAGATAGAGGTTTACGGTAGCACCATGTGACAAATCTCTTTTGTGAAGTTGTGAGGTTCTGGAAAAACTGGGGGAAACTCAACGTTTTGGGCAGTATACAGGGTGAGTAAAAAAATGTCCCAAATGTTGGGACCATTGTTTTAGTGAAGTTCTGCATGTTGCATTTTCAAAATCTAGGATATAAAAGCCCAATTCATAAGCTTTCCTTTAGTACAAGAATCATTCAAATCACTCATGTACTTTTCAAGTTGCGGAGTTTTAAACACAACCACCGTTTTAAATGTTCTGTCCCAGGGATAACAAAAAAAGGTGTGCTTTCTTTCAGCAAAACGAAAACAATTCACACACATCCCTGTGTGATTTGTATTCGTTTTGCTGAAAGAACACTGAATTTTTTGTGATCCGTGGACAGAACCTTAAAACGGCGGTTGTGTTTAAAACTCCGTAACTTGAAAAGTACATGAGTGATTTGACTGATTCTTGTACTAAAAGAAAGCTTATGAATTGGGCTTTCATATCCTAGATTTTAAAAGTGCTACATGCAGAATTTCACTAAAACAATGGTCCCGACATTTGGGTTTCGTTTTTCTTACTCACACTGTACTCTGCGCGTCGTCAGGAGACTGAGGGATTCCAACGATGTAGGAGTGTTATGCTTCCAGTCCCACTACATAACACCCCTTCACTGTTCGAAACCTAGAGAGAGTATACTGTCCGAAACATTGTCAGTTTCCCTAGCCCCACTAGTGTGGCCGTCGGTATGCTGCAGAGGTTCAGCGCAGCATACCGACGGCCACACTAATGGGGCTAGAGTTTCCCCTGTGTTTTTCCCCGAAACTTACAAACTCACAAAAGATATTTTCCATATGGTGCTACAGTAAATCTTTATCTAATTGCTATCTTCAACCATGCAAACCGTCAAATCTTATCTGATCATTGTAGTTGTTTTTGCTGTTTTGTTTTGTACAAAATTGTTTTTGGAGCTGTAGATTTTACAAATACGGTCAAAACACTGTGCTGAATCTTCTTCAGTTGAAAGATCGCACAGCGGGCCACGTCAGGACTCGTGTATCAGCACGTTTTGTAAATAGGAACTCATTCACATTTTTTTTTTTCATTGCCAGAGACATTCAGCCTATTTATATTTTTTTAAGTAAGAGTTTTATTTTGTTTTGATGTATATATGTCATGCCTGTATAATCTACTTTAAAGATATGTATACTTTCAAATATGCAAACGTTGAGATGCTGTAAATTATGTCAAATTGGCAAGAGATTTGTGCCATATCGTTTTTTTTTTTTTTTTTAGTACAGATTCATGACCATTTCATTGTAGTTTTAAAGTTCAAAAAGTTTCTCTGTTTCTGTTGTATAAACTGGATTCAGAAGATGTAAAAATTCAAGAACGCGTGCCTTTAAAGTATACAAGGCCTGATCTCAAGCTGTGCCGATGATGGGTTAGCATGGTTAGGCAAAAAAAAAAGTCTCCGGTTTCTGGTATGCGCGTGCGTCGCCGTAGCTACATGTATGCGCCTCGGCAAAATGAAAAAGCTTTTTTTTTTCAATGAAAGATGATGTCTCAAAACCGCCAAACTCACTGGTTTGACTGGAATCCTGCTGCTGCACAATTTTAACGTGTTTTTAGATTGAATTATGGTCGAGAATAAGTTTTATGTGGCCTCTCTGGACTCCCATATATTTGCACTAAGTTTAGTCAGGCACCATTTACAGTCATCAGCCGACATTTGAAGCAAAAAAAATCAGGTAAAAAAAAAAAAAAAAAGCCGCGTCGCCGCACCACTCTTTGGGCAAGCTCCATACCAGAAACCAGAGGCCTTTTTTTTTTGGCCTCAGTGAACTGAAGAGTTGATGAGACGTCTTAAAGGAATGTTTACGTATTTTGAGAAGTTAAATTATTGACAGTTTTGTACATCCACTTCAGTTGTCAGTCACCAAGATGTAAATTATTCCTTTCAACATATTGTTAAAAAGTTCTTACGTGGCCATAAGTATATTGCTGACTGAAATTTCAAGTTTGACTCCAAGTTGAGTGATAACATGTACATATGTGGGGTTTTGCTAGACACTTGTATAATATTCTTGCCCTTGTCTTTAAATCTGTTATGCAAAAACTGCTTGAATCCTCATTTCCGCTTAAAACGCATTTAGCTAATCCAGCTTTTGGAGAAGGCAAAAGTGAAATATTCCTTCAAAAGAGCGATTACTTTTTTGGGTGTCTAACCAGATTTTTTATATCAAGCAAGTGGGGATTCATATTAAATTCTTGTGTTTGAGTAAATACAAGATGAGAAGAAGACTACATGTTTCACACGGGCATTCTAGAGTTTTGCTAAAGCTTTTCCTTAAAGGTAATATCCAACATTTGCTTTTGCTGTAATTTTCAGAAAGGGATGGATTTGGGGGTTAGTTTTTTACAGCAAATATTGTTACACTGACCTGTTTCAAGATTTGTGTTCATAGATGCTTATAGTCTGGTTCCCTAGCAGATGAGACGTCAGGAAATTGTCAGGTCAGGGAACTACACTAGCTGGCTTGCACTCATTCACCGATTCGTAACCAATTGCAAACAAAATGTGGACTTACTCAATTTGGTAAATTGGGGGTAGTATTTGAAAACAAAAATGTCATCTTTTTTCCAACGATGGTTGGACGGCCGTTGTTGGGCAGCACTGACACCAAGTGCTGTTATTTCACAGGAGGCTTGTGACTGTTATTCTCTGACAGTCAAGTAACGTGTTTCATAATATTTTGGTAGTTTTGTGTTTTGATATTTGCAAATGTTGTACAGTACCTTTAATTTTGTTCGTAATTGAAACTGAAGCGACTACGTTAAAAGATGTTGAAAGAATTTTAAAAGAAGCCGTCAGGAATGGCTTCAGAGATTTGTCAGTTGAAGAGGTTGAAACTCCACATCTTTTCTACATGTTCTTGGGTTGACTGAAGATGCTACAAATAATTTTGGGTTCAGTGTGACTGTTGATGGGGTGTTAAATAGTGTTATCTTTGTCCAAAGGCAAGCCCTTATTGCAGTAGTCGAAGTTTTGTTTTAAAAAAGGTAACTAAGCTGGGGAAATGTAGAGCTTTTAACTGATGCATGTACATTAGTGGTGCGCATCAGACCCAGGTACTTGACCGCTGATGTCGGGAACCGGTACAGATCATGGGATCGGGTACCCGTAACCAACTTTACAAATTACTAAACCTCTCAGACAATGAAAAAGAAAGGTTTTGAATGCCATTTGTGGGAATTTTCAAAACGAAAACCAGGCTACATTGAAAAATCAAAACAGATTTCACGTTTATGTGCAATTTAACGTGCCACAGATGTTATGCTCACGAAAGTTGCAGTTTACACCATGAAGCTATAAAACTCATCAGACAACTTCCAGGATTTGAATTCTTTGGTTGGGTTTCTTTTTAGGGTACCCGAGTACCCAGGTACCCGGGTACCAGGGTACCCGTCTTTTACTTCAATAGGGTAACCGGTTCCCGTACTACCCGCAAATGCACACCACTAATGTACATATCAGAAGGGATGTATTCAGTTTATGCAGTAATACTCAATTTGATACAATGCATATATTTCATGACATTTGGCTGTATAACCTGTCTTACCAAGGAAAAATCGTTTATGTACTTTGCCACCCTGTGAAGTTTACCAGTTGTGTCAAGTGTGTTTTTCAACATGCCGACACTTTGGTTTTTGTGTCGCCTCAACAAACTTTTGGGGGACACTCAACAAGTCCTAAATTCTGTATGACCGTGTCCTTGACACACCAGAGGTACTTGTGGGGTACTCGAACAAAGGGAACGGTACCCCACAAGTGAAATCTTTAGAGAAAAAGGTAACCCACAACTGAAATCTTTAGAAATAGGGATAAAAGGACAACGATGCTCCTACTCCGAAACTCCCATCCGTTGGAACGTCCCTGTGACCGTATGCCTAGTGTAAAAGTTTTAGGTTAATTTTTTTTTTTTAAGTGTATAACTTCTACATGCTTTCATGGATTTGGATGCAGTGACCCTTGGGTGGGAAGACACAATTCTTCATCGGATTACTGAGGTCAAAGGTCATTTAGGGGTCATTATAGAGGTCATTCAAATATGCTTCAAATGTTTTTTTGTCAAAGTTGATGGATTTTAATGTCACTTGGATGGAGTGATCCTTCGGTGGGGGTTCATCACAACTCTTCCGAAATTGGAGGTCAAAGGTCATCTAGGGGTCAGTTGAGGTCGTCGTTTAAAAATAAACAAAATTTGACTTTTTTTTTAAGAACACAAAACATATGGGGATCGACTGCGATCGGCGGATGACCTTGTCTTACTCTTAGACCATCAATGCTTGTTTGTGTACAAAATGTTTTCAGTGTTCACTTTTAGACCGTGCATTACAATACAATTGTTTGGTATGCACCTTGTTTATATTCATTAAATGACCAGAATGTTGTTTCCCCATGTATTGGGGAGCGTTTTTACAGTTAAATACTTATTGTTTGTTAAGTATTTCCTTGTTAATATGCCCTAGGGTATATGTATTTCCAAAACATGATGTGTGAATTTGAAAAAAGTGAAAATGTCCATGGCTATGAAACTTTTAAAGAATAGAAATAGTACAACTCATTTCTTGACAGAATCAAACGTGCATGCGTCCTTGGTGATACTTATTGGGGCCATCAGAAATTAAGTATGCGGCTCGGAAAAAAATCACCATTTTGTGTGGCCATTTCATCTGCCACTGTGCATTTCATATCATAATACATATGTGTACATTTGGGTTTGGCATGTTTGGTGAAATGACCACACATATGAGTCTCATTGAAAAGTAAAGAGCATAGAGCAAAAGTGCTTAAGCTGGGATTTACCACAGACATGATTTTAAATAAC